AACTACATCAGATTCAAACACCTCAAATACATTAAAAAGTCTTTGTGCATAATACTATAAAAACAAATCACTGATATCCTCTAGAGGATGTTGGGGGAAGCAACTGATTCTGAATACTGAATGAAAACAATGCAAAAAGATTTATTGGTCAAAAAAAGTCATGATTATCTACATTAAAAATAAGAGAACCCTTGGATAAGTTACCAGATAAAAATACTAAATACCGAAAAGATTTAACTCTCTTCAAATTAAAATAAAATTCCAATAAATGACTAGTGAGCTGGAAACCTTAACTGATCAAAACTTATAATAAAGAATTAAATAAAATACATAATATGGCAAGGGGTGATGAACACCATGAACAAAAACAAAGAAGGAAATGGACACAAGGTGCACAATTTTAAAGAGGGATGATCTCAAATACGGTGGCGTTGAGTAACTAATTGAAGGCAGGCGGAGTCAGAAAGCACCGAGTGGACATGGGAGGAAAAGCATTCCAAAGAACAGGACACAGCGGGTACAAAAGTCCTAAGGAAGAAGACATGCCTAGCACACTGCAGGAAAAGTAAAACTCCATCGCTACTGAGTCAAGAGTAATCTAGAGAAATGAGTATTAAGATGGCAAGATGATGAGCAAAGAAAATAACAAAGAAAATGACAAGTGATTGGCTTAAATATTTTCTATATAAACTAACAGTAAATATTATGTACTATTGCTGATAACATCACATTTGTGATGCTAAAGAAAGACAAAACAATAACGCTGGGCAACATTATGGCAATCATATAAATTGATAGAGTGATGAGTATTTTATTCTATAGATAAAAACAATCATTTTAGATTTATATTCATATACTAAAATTTCAAGAAAACTTTGGGAGTCTTTAAAAAGGCCCAAATAAGTACATAATTTCACAACTAGTAAAACGAGGAAAACATGAGGAAGGAAAAAAAATCAACCCAAAAGTCAGCAAGAAAATAAGTAGAGAAACAAAGCATAGAAAAAGTATGATAGTATAGCACAAATTGCAGGGATAAAAATATATGCATCAATACATCAATAATGCCAACTTTACACAAGTATTTCCGGTAACTTATACAAAATGTATCAATTCCTTGCACAAAACTATCAAAACTCAGCCGGTATGAAATACAAAATTTGAGTAACCTTGTAACAACTCAGAAAAATGAATTCATTATTTAAAACTTCCCCCCTCCCAAAAAATTTACTAGGCCCAGATGATTTTACTGGAGCTCCACAATTTCTTCCAGAAAGTGAAAGTGAAGATGAGAAAACACTTCTAAACTCACTTTAAGAAACTAGCATTACCCTTAAACAAAACCAGACAAAGACAGTACAAAACATGAAACTACAAACAACTCATGAATATAGATGAGTTACTTAATACATTAGCATAAAGAATTCAGCAATATGCAAAAACAATTATACACCATGACCCAGTGAGGTTTATTACAGGGATGCAAGACTAGATCGACATTTGAAATCAATGTAATACACTATATTAATAGCTAAAAAATGGAAACTGCATTATAATATCAATCAATACAAAAAATCACTTGACAAATTCAATACCAACTTATGACAAAAAATTCTCTGAAAAAGTTAAAACAGAAGAGAACTTTCTCAACTTAATAGAAAGCATCTGTAAGAAATTCTGGAGCTAACATACTTAAAGATGAAAGACTGGATGCTTCACCTCAAGATTTTGAATGAGACAAAGATGTCTACTCTGACACTCTTAGTTAGCATAGTCCTGAAAGTTCCAACTGTGGAATAAGACAAAAAAGAGAAAAAAAGCATACAGATCAGAAAGAAAAAAAGAAACTACCCGTATTTGCACATCCCAAGGAATCTACAAAACAGTTCAAAGAACTAAAAACTAAGTTGTTATTCATTCAGCACGGTCACAAGATATAAAAGCAAAACATGAACACCAACAGAACATGTAGAAACAAGCTAAAAACACACCATTTTCTCCTAATTACGCCAAAGAACATAAAGATCACATGTTTTAAAAAAATAAAACAATACAGGACTTGCATGCTGAAAACTACAAAACACAAATGAAAGTCTACAATCTAAATAGAGTCTTCATAGACTGGAAGACTCAACAAGCAATGTCAATTTTTCCCTTTCTGACAAGGAAAAATATGAACTTCTAACTAATTCTCACATGCTATACAAAAACAAGTAACTCTGAACAGTATCACAGACATCAATGTAAGAATAAAGGTATAAAACTTTTCAAACAACACAGAGAAAAAGCGTCAGTGTCCAGAAATAGGCAAAACAGTTCTTGGGCTTATACTCAAAGCAAGATCCACAAAAGGAAATATTACATAGCGGACTTGACCAAAAGTAAAAACTTGTACTCTACTAGTACTGTGAAAGGATGCAAAGACAATCAACAACCAGCTCAGAGAAAATATTTTCAAAGCACATATCCATCAAATGACCGATATCTAGAAAATACCGAAAACTCTTACAACTAAAAAAAAAAATCCAATTAGGAAAAGGACAAAAGAGGTGAAGAAACATTTCATTGAGGATATACAATGACAAATAAGCACATAAAAATATGTTCAGCATCATTAGCCATTAGGGGAATGCAAATTAAAACCTCACTGAGATAACACTAGATACATACCAGAATGGCTAAAATGAAAAACAGTGAAAACACCAAATGCTGGCGAGGAAGCAGATAAACTGGATCACTCCATACATTGCTGGTAGGAATGTAAAATGGTACAGCCACTCTGGAAAACAGTTTGGCAGGTTCTTTAAAAGCTATATATGCAATAACCATACAATCCAGCAATTGCACTCCTGGGCAATTATCCCAGAGAGTTGAAAACATGTTGAAAACCCTATGCATAAATCTTTGTAGCACTTTTATTCATAATAGCCAAAAACTGTACACAACTCAGATGTCTTTCAACAGATGAACAGCTAAACAAATCCAGCTCATGGAGTATTACTCAACAATAAAAAGTGATGAATTATGAGACATATAATAGCATGGTGAATTTTCAGAGAATTATGCTGCATGAAAAAAGACCTCAAAAGTTAGAAACTGTATGATTCCATTCATGCACTATTCAAAGAAAGAACAGATGAATGGATCCCCAAAGGTGAAGGGGAGGGAGGGGCTGAATGGGAAGGAAATGTGTGTAGCTATAAAAATGACAGTATGAGGGATTCTTATGGTGATAGAAATGGTCTGTATCTTGATTGTGTCCATATCAGTATCCTGGTTATGATATCATACTATGATTTTTATAAGATATTACCACCCAAGGAGACTAGGCAAAAAGTTCATGGGATGTCTCTGTATTACTTCTTATAATTCTAAGTAAATTGACAATTACTTAATCAAAAGTTTAAAATCACAGAAGCCAGGACTATCAGACCACGTTATTTTAAAAATTCAATAATAATCACAAGAGCTAAAACTAAAATAGAAGGATAAAAGGAAGGGGGAATTTTTAAAATCAGGCAAAAAATTAGATGATCAAAAGAAAAAAATATAGGTACACTAACATCAAACAGCAATATGTAATACAAAACAGAATCCTATACACAAAGTCACTACACAGAGAAAATTTCAATTCTACAGGAAAATATACTTTAAACTTTGATGGCTAACAACAATTAAAATATGTATTTTAAAATTTGATAGAATTACAAGGAAAATGAAAAAAATTTTAGTGAAAGATTAAGATGTCTACTCTAAATACATAACAAGATTTGAACATAGGAACAAACTTAACTACTGCACATGTAGAAAACTTTGTGACCACAATTAAAAAATACACACTCTCTTCATATAACAAACAAAAATCATAAAAGGTGACCACATGATCTCAACAGATTTCAAAGGGTTGGTATCCTACAAATCATGCTGTTACCACAACAGAATTACAAGCCAGTCACCAAACTAAAGGAATTCCCATATATTTGGAAATAAAAATCTATAAATAACTCATACATTAAAGAATCCATAGTGGAAAATAGAAAAATACTCACAAGTGAAAAATAAAAACATAAAAGCATGTGATGTAAGGAAAGCAATACACACAAATTGATAGTCTTAAACGCGTACGGTAAAATGCTGAAAATTAGTAAGAACGGTGTCCGACTTGATAAACTAGAAAAAGAATAAAAATAAAACCAAAGGAAGTATAAGCAAAGAAATGAAGAGCAGAAGTTAATGAAATGGGGAATTATATGTTAAAGGGCATAAAAGACTAAAGTTTAAATTCTTCCAAAGGTCTAAAAATTGGCAAACATCTAGCTTTTAATGATCAAGGATGGCATAAAAAAGGAGGGGTGCTTTTAAAGAAACATTACTGTTACCGCAAACTAAGAAATTAATAACTTACTGCCACAAGTTCTAGAATGTGGGTAAAGTGGACTACGTTATAAGTATAACCTACCAAAACGAGCTTGAAAATTTGAAATTTGAACAATCTTATAACCAAAGCTACCAAATTAGTGATTAAGAAGTGTCCCACAAAGAAAACACCAGTTACAATTTTTACAAGGGAGTTCTACCAAAGGCTTAAGAAATGGATTATTCTAATCTTACATAAACTCTACCAGAAATAAGAGAAAAAGTATAGTTTTAAAAAAATTTTAATTACTCATCATTAAGGCAAAAGTACTAAATTTACTATCTTCAAACTGAGCCCAATAATGAAGAAAAAAAAAAAAGAGAGAGAGAGACAGATTAGGGTTGACATTATACCTGGAATACTAGGTTGGTTTAAATAGCAGAAAATCAATCAATGTATTTCCCCATGTTAACAGGTTATAGAAGAAATGCTTATCTTCTCAAAAGATGCAAAAAAAGCTTTTGATAAAATTCAACATCCATTCATGATTTTTTTTTTTTAATTAGCAAACTAGTAATAGAAAGAACATCCTTAACCTGGAAAGATTATCTACAATAAACCTACAGCAAGCATTATACTTAACTGTGAAACTCTGAAAGCATTCCCTTTAAAATCAGGAACAAGATCAGGATGCCCCCATCACCGCTTCTATTCAACATTGTACTGGAGATCCTAGCCAGCACATTAAGACAAGAAAAAGAAAGAAAAAAAGCATAAGAATTGGAAAGGAGGAAACAAAGAGATCATTATTCACAGATAGAACTGTCTACACAGAAAATCCAAAAGAATTCTGTAGGTTATTCATCACAATTAGGAGCATGGCACTGTTGTTACACAAACTCAAATGCACTTCAATACACTACCAAGGTAGAATGTCATTATATTGATAAGATACCATTTGTGATACAAAAACAAGGCACCTAGCAATAACAAACAAAATATTTACAATAGTTGAAGAAAATTAAAATTATGCACAAGGCCTAAATAAATGGAGACTATAATGCGCATGGTTATGAAAACTTTATTAATATTAAAAAAAGAAAACTAGTAACAAAATGAAAGCTCCCTCCAAACTGATTTACAAATTCAATGTATTTCCCATCAAAATCCCAGTAGGGTTATGTGTGCGCATGCAGACACACTTGGTTTGTATCCACATAATTTAAAAAAGATAATTCTAAAATTATATAGAAGAGCAAACAGCCAGTAAATTCACTGAAAAACTACAATGCAGAAGGACTTGACCCACTTTTGTGTTCCTCAATGATTAACTAGACTGTTTCAGATCAACCTTCCCTGTAAAAACTTTAAAAACTAAACAGTATAAAAAACATCTGTTTGAAGGCATGGAAGCAGCAAGAATCTAAGCAGCCTAGAAATGGAATCCAAACATTTGATGCATCTTTTCCCCTGGTGATATTTCCCCCTGGAGATATCTGCCAATGGGGAAAGGGCAATGAACAGGCTGAGAAGTCAAGCAGAACTCTGACTCAATGTGTAAGTTTGGGAAAACAAGTTATCTGCAAAATACAATCTGTAAGAGCTGGTATTCTGGACATATAGTCAACTGCACATCAGTATGAAAAAGACAGGAGGCCCAATATAAAAATGGGCAAAAGACTTGGAGGCCACTTCACATAAGACACCCATATGGTCAACAAGTATTTTAAAAGGGGTTTGGAATCACTACTCATTAGAGGAATGCAAATTAAAGCCACGAAACATCCACTAAAATGTCTAAAATTAAAGGACAGGCAAGGGACATGTAGCGACCATAATTCTTACACTCCTAATGGAAGGGACTGGACAAACAGCTACAAAGAACACACAGAGGAATTTCCAAAGAGCAGGAAAAGTCAAGACACCAAAAACATATTATACAATTCCATTTATGTGAGCTCAAAATACTGGCAAAACTAATCTAAGATGTTAAAGTCAGGTTAGTAAGTTATCTTTGAGAAGCTTAAATGCTGAGAGGGGACTCAAAGGGAGTTGCTAGAGCACTCATAATGTTCTCTGTCTTGACCTGCATAGGGTTATACAGAGAAAATGCATCCAGGTATAGTCTCATGACCTATGCTTTCTATAGGTGCTATGTTGAGAAGTTTGTTTATATGGAAGTTATTATAAATATGATGGTGCTGCTGGCATGGACTAATAAACTAGAGGTCAGAAAATATAGATAAGTAAATCCAATTATTACAAGTTAGGAATTTTATGGTTTTAAAAAAAGACAGTACAAACGGGGGCAAAAGACATGAACAGAATTCTAGAAAAGGAAAGAACATGTTAATCAGCACAGTAAAAACATGCTCAAACTCATTAACAAAAGGGGAAAAATGAAAACTATTTTATACTTGCTGGCAACAACTTTAAAGTCTGATAAAAATATTAGCAAGAAATCTAAGCAACGACAACTGCATTGCTTAAGGGAAGCAAATACTGTTATCATCCTCTTTGGAAAATGGTATTATCTAGCATTGTTGAAGATGCACACATCCTTAAATCCTGACAATAGGACTCTTAGGATCACTATAGTAAAATATAAATATTCACACAAGATGAGAAAATAGAAATCACAAACAGCTAATAATTAATGCAGGTCAAGCTTTTTCACAAAGTAAAAACACTGAAAAGTTACTTTTTTTTTTTTTTTTTAGCATTTTCAGCGCTTTTTGGATTTCAGAAGTGTGGATAAAAGATTTGAGGACCTATAAAAAAAACAGAAACTACATGAATTTCCAATAGGAAAATGAAAAACTGGAGTATATGCCTATGATGGAAAATAAAAAACAATGACAATCAAAAAAGCCCCAAATACATACAATATTACTCCATTTGTATAAAAATTTAAGATACAAAAAAAATCTATCTATATGATACAATATATAGGGCCTCCCGGGTGGCACAACGGTTGAGTGCTGGGTTGCAAAGCTGCCCGCTGCCTCTGCAGTGCCAGCTCAATACCTGGCTGCTCCCCGGCCACTGGAGGAGGGTCCCACATGGCGCACAGACCTCTCCTGCCGCCCGCTGCTCCCCTCAGCAGTGTACTTCGGTCCTTTCGTCTGCTCTGCTCCCCGCTCTGGCTCTGGTGAATTCTCTCACCCTCCTGCGCTTTCTGACTGTACCCAGTGCTTGTATAAATGAATGAATGAATGAATAAATCTTTAAAAAAAAAAAAAAAAGACTGTATGATACTATATATATATTATTTAGCTACATAATGTTATTTAGCTATATAATGTAAATGTGACAGAGAAAGTGCCCTGTTGAACTACTGTAATGAACTACTTAAGTTGGGTGATGTGTAAATATATGTTTACTAATATCTCACCTGTTATAATCTCCTGTACCTATTAAATAGGTTGAAGTATTTTAAAATTAAAAGTCAAGAATAACATAGCCAAATACATAAACCAGTATGACAACTGCCACTTCAAAGAATTGTCTCGAGAGAACTTTTTTAAAGGAATTAGCATCCTTAGAGAAATTAAGGTATTAATCTCCCCTCCCCCACCCATGAATCAAGAACAGGCTTCCCTTTTATTTTAAAGGGGTAGGTGGGAAGGAAGGAGAAAAAGAGGATAAAGTTTTTATATATTAAAAATATAGTTACTGAAATTCAAAGATAAAGTCAAGGAAATCTTCCAGAATGTAAACAAGTGAAACTGTCAATCTGAAAGTCCAAAATTCATCTAAGAGACTCAGAGAAAATAAAAAAGTTATCCAAAGAAGAGAAAAAAATTCCTCAGACCTGAAGAGGCTTAAAACTGAAAGTTTACCCACTAGAAGAAATGAAAAGGGATAACCAGATATACTTCACATCAAAGATGAAAAGATCACCATGAAGACTACGAACAAGGTAACTACAAAAGGATAACCGTCAGATGCCATGGATCTATCACTGGCAACACTAGGCATTTTAAGTTCCTAAAGCAAAGCTTTCAAAGTTCTGAAACAAAATATTACCAACTTAGAATCAGAAACAAAGGCAAGCCATTTTCAAATGCTTAGAACTTTAAGAACTTACAAAGTTTATCACCAACATATCCTTCCTAAAACAACTAACCAAGGACTGTATTCTAGCAAGATCGAAAAGTAATTTAAAAATAGAAGGGCATGAGATCCCAATAACATACCTAACCCAGGAGTGCAATATAAAGTAATGCACACACTAGACAACGAAGATGAAGAAAATTGAAGAAATTCTATCTTCAAGAAAAGCTGAATGGTTACAAGATGAAAATATTCTTTGATTACATTTTAAAAACAATGCCCATGAGCCTATGAAGCTGTCCACAGCCTCTGCAGCACTGGTTTGATCCTGGCCAGCCGGGGAGGCTCAGCAGATCTCTCCTGTCTCCCCCACTGCTCCCCTCAGCAGTGTATTTCAGTCTGCCTGTTCTGTTCCCCACTCTGTCTCTGGTGAATCCTCTCACCCACCTGCACATCTGGCCTGTACCCCGGTTCTTGTATAAATAAATCTTAATAAATAAATAACAACAATGCCCATGAGTTCGCCTCACCCAAACAGATCCTTTGTATTTCTCCTGTGCTAAGGAGGACAGGTTTAATACACAACTCCACATACCTGGTTCTACACTGACCAATTCTTACAATCAACATACATATTGCAGTCTCCTTATTAGCACTTGATCTCTAGGATCTTCCTGTCAAAGCAAAAAAGTACAGAAGCAATATAAACCATAATATAAATGTAATAAATCTTAACAACAGAAAGAAAAAATGAGGACTGGAAGGGGAAGGGTGGAGATAAGAAGACAAAGGAAAATGGATGGAAGTTAAATTCTTCTCAGAAAGACTGGGAACTGATGAGATTGTTTGAAACTGAAGGTCAAAAAAAAGAATTTTAACTATGGCAAAAAGTTTAAAAATAATCAAATAGTAGAACAAGGAACAAAAATGTAATTGGTAGAAATCAAAGTGCTAGGACTGATGGAAAAAATACAATGACCTAAATTCCCTATCTACTAGAGGGTCAAGTAATAGACACTGTTGAGAGTTGAAAAAGAAAAATCAACACATAGAAGATACCATGGTATTTCTGAGTTCTGGGACTGCCTAAAAACAAAAGACATGTGGGCCTCCCCGGTAGTGCAGCGGTTGAGCGCTGGGTTGCGAAGCTGCCCGCGGCCTCTGCAGCACCGGTTCAATCCCCGGCTGCTCCCCAGCCACGGGAGGAAGGTCCCACATGGCGCGCAGACCTCTCCTGCCGCACGCTGCTCCCCTCAGCAGTGTACTTCGGTCCTTCTGCCTGCTCTGCTCCCCGCTCTGGCTCTGGTGAATTCTCTCACCCTCCCGCGCTTCTGACTGTACCCAGTGCTTATATAAATAATAAATAAATAAATCTTAAAAAAAAAAAAAAAGACATGTATGTCAAAGGAGTGGGACTTAATGAGAAAGAAACAACTTTTACTTTTTGAATTTTTCTGTACTAAGTACTACCTTCATTTTTTTAAAATGGGAACAAAGAAAAAGAATTTAAAGGTTCTGGCCAGATTAGGGAAAAGGTCATATAACTTGTTCAAGACCATATACAGTCAATAACCATCCATCTCCAATGCTAGTATTAAAGATAATCAAGGTGTTTTACTGAGGTGTATAAATATTCAAATGCAGAGCTGAGTATTCCTGTTTCAAACCACTTTTCTAAAGTCTAGGAAAAAGGACACATTACTAGTGGAGTCAAAATAAACACTTGAAAATGATACCATTCCCCCCATCACTTTCACTTCAACAGTACAATTTATTAATGAGGCACCTGTATAAAAACAGATTAGCTGTGAATATAACTCAACAGAGGAATAAAAAATCAGTGCTGGGAAAACTGGATAATCACCTGCAAATGAAGCTTGATCTTTACCTCACATCATACAAAAACTACCTCAAAACTGGTCAATGATCTAAATGAAAAATCTAAGCTTGATTGAAAACAGGCATATATCTTTATGACACTGGGTTTGCAACGATTCTTAGATTTAGCATCCAAAGTATAGGCAACAAGAGATAAATTGAACTTTGTCAAAATTAAACATTTTTGTGCTTCAAAGTACACAATCTAGAAAGTGAAGACAATCCACAGAATGGAAGAAAATACTTGCAAACTATATAATAAGGATTTTCTATCTAGATCTTAAACTTAAAAGAAAAAAACTTAAATGGGGCAAGGTTTGAATAAACATTTCTCCAATGAAAATATACAAATGGCCAATAAGCACATCAAAAAGGTACTCAACAGCATAACTCACCTGGGCAAAGCAAAATAAAACCACAAAGAGATACTGCTTCATACCCACTAGGATGGCTAGAATCAAAAGGACAGACAATAACAAGTGTAGGAGAGGATGTGGAGAAAGTTCCTATATTACTCAGTGGGTATGTGAAATGCTTTATTTTTGGAAAACAGTTCAACAGTTTCTCAAAAAGTTGGATCAAGAAAATGTGGCATATATACACAATGGAATATTATTCAGCAACCTCATGCCATTCCCAGCAACGTGGTTGGAAATAGAAGGAATTATGCTCAGTGAATAAGCCAGAAGGGAAAAGAAAAATATCGGATGGTTTCACTTATAGCAGGAATATAGGGGAACCCAATAAGACATCAGTGTAAAAAAATAATAACAGTACAAAACACAACAAAGCAAAAACGGACAATTATAAATAAGAGACATCCTGCAGGGGAGGAGGAGGAGGGAGAGGGATCAGAGGGAGGGAGGAGGTAGCACAGGGGACTGAGGTGATGGTGCACAGGAGCCTTGGTGAAGAAAACTCTATGGGGGACGGACTACACCTGAGGGGGTGGGGGGAAGCAAATGTTGTTTAAAAATGAAGAACGATGTAAAAAATTAAAATTAAAAAAAATTAAACAGAGGGGACTCCCAGGTGGCACAGTGGGTTGAGTGCAGTGCTGTGGGGCTGTCCACAGCCTCTGTAGTGTGGGTTCGATTACCAGCGGCCAGGGAGATTCCCACACGGCACAGCAGACCTCTCCTGTAGCGCCTGCTGCTCCCCTCAGCAATGCTTTCAGTCTGTCTGCCTGTTCTGCTCCCCACTATGTCTTTGGTGAATCTTCTCAACCTCTGGCGCCTCTGGCCTGTACCCCAGCTATTGTATAAATAAAAAATAAATCTTTAAAAAAAAAAGTTAAACAGAGTTACAGTATGATCCAACAATTCCATTCTTGGGTATCTACCCAAGAGAATTAAGAACATAGATCCACACGAAACTTACACATTTAAGAGATAAGTGTCCCTACTAGTCAAAAGTAGAAACAACCCAAATGTCCATATATTTCTTGAATGGATAAAATAAAATATGGTATATTCATAAAATGGAAATAATACTGAGCCATAAAAAGGAATGAAGTATTGATACATGCTATGACTTGGATCAACCTTTGAAAAGGTAATATTAAATGACAGAATGCAGACACAAAAGGCTATACTTATGACTCTTCTTCTATGAAATGTACAAACTAGGCAAATCCATAAAAATAAAGTGAATGCGGAGGGTTGGAAAAAAAGAGCAAAGAATGACTGCTAATAATACAGGCTTTCTTTTGCTATGAAGAAAATGTTCTGGAATTAAATAGTGGTGAAAGTTGCAAAGTTTAGTGAATAGACCAAAACCACTAAACTGGATACTTTAAAAGGCTGTATTTTATGGTATGTGGATTATTAGCACAATTTTAAAAATTAACAGACTAAGATTCAGTTTAGAAAAACAAAAACAAAAATGCTAAGCAGGAAAATGTTAGCTTTATCAAAAAAGATGTTCGCCTTTACAAGATGGAGGATGCAGACCTAAGGAGCAAACAAATGCAAAGTGTCTAATACAGCTAGGAATATCTTGGTTTACTCTCTACTAAAAAGTATCTTTTTCATTTTAAATTTAATATTTAGTTTTCAATGTGTCTTCCTAGCCATAACCTCAAGTGAAGTCCTTCTGAAAATTTTAGTTGTGACCACTGATAGCAGTTTTGAATCACGTGGCAGAAACAATTTCAGCTATTATAACTATTGGTCTATTTCCTTGCCCAAGAGTTGGAGGCTTGAGGGGATGAGGACCTCTAACCTCAAATGCCCTCATTCCCCCTCTGCATCCTAACAGCATCTGAAGCTAGCAGTATGGCAAGTCATGTAGGTATATTCCTCAAACCTTCTAGACGAAAAAAAACCTTCTGTTACAGAATACTTAAGCCTCCTAGTGAAAAGGATCTTCTGCATCTGGTCTACCAGCACCTACTAAGACAGTTATAATCACTGGCTTTCACTAGTCCAAACACACGCCAGACTCTTGCCAGCACAATCCCTCTGTTCTAACACACAAAGATAAGAAACTCTCCACGCACAAACGGAAAGGGATTAGGAACACAGGAAAGAAATCCTTAAAAAAAAAAAAAAAAAAAAAAAAAGTTAGCCTGTTATGACACTAGATCCTCCCTACTTCCCTCTTCCCCATCCTGAAATGGAGGTAAGTAGGGAGAGTGGACTAACCAGGTTAAAACGCAGCAAGGACCTTGTAAAGGACTGCCCAAGGGCTGCAACTGAGAAACCCACAGTATTGGAATCATGCAGCTAGAGAAGACAGACAAGAGTAAAAAAGCTGCTCTAGTTGAGAAAGAGGTGAGAGACTCTAGAATCCCAACTATTCCGGCCCCCCTCCACCCCAATGCTTGATTCTGCTACAAATTCTTGGGGCAGAAAGCAGGGCAGCAGTGACAAGAGGCTATTCGATTCTATGAACTTGTACCAGGTTAATTCACAACTAGTTAACTTGAAAATTAGTTAACTCACAAACTTCTAACAACAGATGTGACAAATAAGCAACTGGTGAACTGAATAATTTCTTCTAACGCCACAAAAGCTTCTAATATGTGATGTATTATTATAGCATCTTTGACCACACAACTGCCCTTCACAAAGAACTTCCCCGTTCCTTTCCCTCAACCTCATTCCTTTCCTTCGGTCATCAGGATGATCTCCCCGTTCGGGTTTGTATGATGTAAGTTTAACCTCCTGTCTACAGAAATGAGAACAGAAGTAGACCATCACCTAAGCTCAACCAACCAGATCCTCTCTCCCAGAAGATCTGGAAGAGAAGCATTTAGATCTACAGTTCAAATGAACTGAAGGTTAAGAGCTGCCACGCTATACTACGACCAGACACCATGCTGGTGTCTGCTCACAGAGCAGTCTAGAAAATTAACACTATCAGGCGGCCCCTTAAAGTTCTACAATAGTCGTCTCATCAAATAAATGCGACCAAACCCACCACCCCCAGTCTGAAAAGGCAAGGGCACAGAAGTCACTAAAGCACAGTGAGGATGCCCCTTCCCAAGATTCTCAACCTCCAGTATAAGAGACTGCAGCACAGCCAGGTACTGAGCTCTGGTTATTCAGGTCCCTAGGGAGTGGCACCAAAGAATAATGGGCAAAGACAATGGAAATCCGCTCGGCAATAACACAAACCAAGTATGTGGCTAACCATTTACTGATGAGAAACAAGAAAAACAGCTGACAAAGGCCAAGATTTTTCCTGGTCCGTGACCATCAGAATACATTCTGAAGCAGAAACCAACAGAAAGCCCTAGCTGTTCCTTCCCCTATTCTCCCCTTCCAGTTTTTTAGCCAGTTGTCCTGTTTTTGCTCCAATATTATGTATCACATAAGCAGAGTATTGAATACTTATCATCAATTTAGTGTATGGTCTGGAGCCACGGGAAACAGAACAGAGCAACCAAGCTCAAGACAGAAGAGCACCAACTCAAAAGTTCCACACCTGATGTTAAAACTTGCAGGTCTTCCTGTCTTAAGCTGTGTGATCTATGTCAGGTTAGTTAACCCCTTTGCCCCTTAATTTCTTGAAAGAACTGTGAGGATTAAATAAGCATGCATGTCAAGGGTTTAGAACAGAGCCAGGCATGTAATAAGCACTACGTGGGTATCCGCCATGGTCATCAATACTGAGCAGCCAAGGCAGAGCCTAAGGTGGATAATTCTTCCAGCATCTGCACAGCCCATACTCACCCCTCCTCTGAAAATTCTCCCCCAGTGAGTCTTTGTTGGTCACCTAATGTGAACTGTGGGAGACAGAACCATCTATCAAGTGCAGGGAGAAGCAAAGACAGCTGATTAATCGAAAGAGATGATGAAGATAATCTACAAAACAAAATGGAGAGAGAAGAGGTAGTGGGTAGAAGGGAGAAAGAGAGGGAGGGAAAAGCTTCTTTGGTTTTCAAGGAGTTCCTGGTTCCACTCCAAGCTAAGCACTGGCTGCCTTTCTACCCATCGAAGTAAATAAATTTTCTCCTTTTTATTAAGTCTTGACCAACAACATTTATAAAAGTCTCATACAAGTCTTGGAAAAGTTTTCACTAACCAAAAAAAAAAAAAAATCTTAGAAAAGACGTATACATGTTACTACACAAATTTAAGATGATATGGCAAGTAAAAGTAAGTTTAACTTCAATCTCCCATTTTCTCAAAGCACCCTAAACCAAAGGCCAGAGTCTTCAGAGGTGAGGCTGGGGCCTGAGTATTTCAAGCGCACCACAGGTGTTAAAGAGCTCTCCAGCTACGGCTCTGAGCCACTGAACCTCCTAGACTTACTACTCTTTACCTCCTATCATGGGTCTCTGCATAAACTAGTGTAAGTCAAAAATGCACGGATACAGGTTTCTCTTTACTAGGCACTAAATTTTTGGAACAGCAGAAGGGAAAATGGCAGGCATTACGCAAACTACAACAATCTCCTTGCAGATCTGAATCCTGAAGACATTCTTTTGCTGTTGTCCACCATACCAGCCAGGTGAACAGCCCTCCCCCACCTTATACCACCCAGAAAAAAAAAGATAATATACCCCCCCAAAAAAAAAAAAAAAAAAAAAACAAACCCAAACCAAAAACCCTGAATTTTTTGCAGAATCCAAAAAGGCACCCTACGATCATAAATCTGTGTTCTGCAAACGTGCTGCAGCTGACTTAATTTCAAGTTCACCATCACCTCTACTTGGGCTTGTTTTCATGATCAGGCTGCCCGCCCCTAAGCACCCCACTCACGTCGCCGGTTATTCAGCGACCCAGAAAAAAAGAAACCCGCTCGCTCGAGCCTCTCAGCTGCGCCTCCTCTGCGGACTCCCCCTGAAGGTGATGGGCCCGGGAGGAACCCTCTTTCCTGCTCTGCCCCCCAACACGCCCCTTTTCACACCTCCCGGATACAAAGGGCCCCACAATAAAGTTGTGACCTTGCTCGAAGGCTCGGATGAAAAATGTCTTTCCTCAGGCGCGAGACGAGTTCGCCAGCCCAGCGCGGCGCGGGCGGGCTCGGGGCGTCTCGCCGCGGCGCTCGGGCGCCGGCGGGGCTCAGGCCGGCGCTGACGACGGGCTCCCCGGGACCGCGCGTCCCTCGGGGTGCGCCGGGGCGCGGGCGGGGGGACGGGGCCTTCCCGCGACCAGCACCTCAGCGGCGGCCGCGACCCTGCCTCGGCGCAGCCGGCGCCCGGGGCTCCCCGCGCCTCAGCGCGCCCCCCGCCGCGACGGCCGAACGGGCGCCCCGGCCGCCCCCGGCCGCCCCCGGCCCGCCGGGCAGGACCCCGGAAGTGAGCGCCCCGCGACCCCCCCGGCGGCCCGGGCCCCCCGCGCCAGGTGTGCGGACCCCGGCCGGCTCGACCCGCCTGGGCCCCAGGCCCGGCGCCACGCGCGGCCCCGCCGCCCGCCCGTTCCGCCCGCCCGTTCCGCCCGGGCGCCCGTTCCGACGCGGGCCGGGCCCCGAGCGCCGCCAACCGGCCCCGCGAAACAGGGGGTGGCGCGGACGACGCTGCGGCTTCTCCGCCGGCCTCCCCTCCCCCGCGGCCTCCGCTCCGGACTCCCGCGCCCCCGCTTACCCTCAACTCCTCGAAATCCGCCATTTTATACCACCCGCGGGCGCCGCCGCCGCTACCGCCACAGCACCCCCGCCCGCTGCCGCCAACGACGCCGCCGCCACCACGGCCGCCGCCGCCGCCTCCAGCACCATCCTGCACTGGGCGCCGCCGAAGACGCCGCGGCCGCCGCCGCCGCCAGGCCCGTCACGTGACCGGCGCGGGCGCCCCGCCCCCGGCGGCGCGGCCCCGCCCCTCCCGGCGCCCCCGCCCCCGCCCCCCGCCCCGGCCCGCCACCTTCCGCCCGCGGCTTCCGTCCGCCTCCCGCGCGCTGCTCTCGCCCGGGCGCCGCGCTCGCGGCGGGTCCCTGAGGCGCCGTCGTGACCGCGGCGCTCCCGCGGGCTGGGGAAGGGCCTGATCTGGGGGGGCGGCGGGAGGGAGAGGTGGACGGGGCGCGTGACTGGCACAGTTCGGGAAGATTCTTCGGGTGCCCTGCCGCACGGCGGCTGGGGACGGAGGAAGCAGCCGCAAATAAAACCAGCCCCCCGCCCCCCTAGGACGCCAGGAGGGACAGTCTGAATGTGGGTGCTGGGGGAGCCTCTACTCCCGTCTGATGGTGCAGGGGCAGCGAGACCTCTTGGAATTGCTGTTACCCTCAAAGTGCTAACCCGGCGATTCTGACTTTGAAGGGCGGCTGAATGTCACTGCAGAGTTGGGAGGGTTGGGCACATGGGGTTAAGGGACTCGTGAAATAAGAGCCCATAGACGGGCCCAGATAAAAAGTGGAGGGGTCAGGGAAATCAGATAGCTAGGAAAGAGTGAAATGCCAGGTCAGAGAAAATGGAAGACATCTCGATGGCGCCCACTGCGAGCTGACAAGGGGTGAGGGTGTGAGCACATGGCAGTGAGCTTCCCATTGGCCCAGCTCACCAGGCAAAGGTCACTTTGTATGTGAGCTTCTTGGCCGCAAGCTAGACCTCGATGAGAAGAATCCTGTCATATACAGGATATGACAGACTTTCATGTTTCCCTGAGACGTGTTTTTCACAGACCTTGTCAACTGAAGATAGGGACTGGAAGATGCCAGCACCGGGAACAAAGACATTCCTGAAGACTCCCTCCCATGCTAAACTATACTATATATAACTTTACCAAACTGTCCCCTCTGTGAGCCAGTCTCTTTGGAAGCACTAGTTTCACTGTCTCATTTTCTTGTCACAAGGAAATAAATGATTGTCCCTTGTGCACTTCTACTTGGCAGTGCCTTACTCAGCCCAGACACCCACCAAGAGCACAAATTCATTTGATAGGGGGTTCAGGAGGTAGGGGAGGCCACCATAGCTAGTATAGAAACCTGTACATACACACAGACTAATGATCTGTTTTCTTTAAACTAAAACTTGCTTTAAACTGAGATTCCTGCTCTGGTGATGCCCAAAGGGGTGTTGGACATTGACACCATCATTTGTACCAGGGTCAAGGTAACTGGGAAGCTGATAACAAAGTTCTGGGTCTGAATATGATGAGTACCAAACATCAGCTGTGACGGACTGTTCTAATGGGCTGTTTCTTCATGACTGTCTTTCTAACCTTTTATAAAAAGGCCAACTCAAGATAAGACGACAGAACGGTCTCTTCTGGCCTAGATTGTTCTTTCAGATCAGTGGCCAGTAATCTGAAAAACAAAAGTGCTTATAAATTCAATTCCAGTGTCTGCTTGTTGCCTTTTTGGTAGTTACAGTCAGGAGATCCTAGGCCTTATTCTGCCACAGCACTGAGTTTGGTTACAAGTCGTGGTGACCTAGATGTCACAATATCAAGATCCTTGAGATGTTCGTATCTTGACTCCCAACAAGTGAAGCAGTGGGCAGTGGCAAACTGGTCCAGGGCTCATGTGCTCATGTTATCAGGAACAAGGTGAAGGATGAGGCAAAGTTATCCCACCAAGAGAAAGAACCCATTGAGTTGTGTTACAAAAGATGACACTGAGTCAATCTAGGCAGAAAAATTGCTGGACCAAACCTAGGGTTCAAAATTCCCTTAAAGAGGTACATGCAACCCACCCACAAAGAGACTTTAAAATTCTTTTTTTTTTTTTTTTTTTTTAATAAATTTTATTGTTATATTCCCCATACAATTGCAGCCCCCCCATTCTGACCCCAATCCCTCCCCTCCCACCCCCGCCCCCCTAAAAGTGTCTCTGGTTCATAGTTTTTTGTTGATTTTGATTTTCACTTTCTTATAGTTATTCATTTTCCTGGTCCCTTATTTAAGTTTTCTAGATTCCTGCTATGAGTGAGACCATCCGGTATTTTTCTTTTCTTTTTGGCTTATTTCGCTGAGCATGATCCCTTCCAGCGCCATCCATGTTGCTGCAAATTGCATGTGTTTATCTTTTTTGAATGCTGAGTAATATTCCATGGTATATATGTACCACATCTTCTTGATCCAGTCATCTATTTTTGGGCATTTGGGTTGTTTCCAAAGCTTAGCTATTGTAAACAGTGCTGCTATAAACATAGGGGTGCAGGTGTTCTTTGGAATTGATGTTTCTGTGTCCTTTGGGTAAATACCTAGGAGTGGAATTGCTGGATCATATGGAAGCTCTATGTTTAGTAGGTCCAGAAATCTCCATACAGCTTTCCACAGTGGTTGGACCAGTTTGCACTCCCACCAACAGTGCAGAAGAGTTCCTTTTTCTCCACACCCTCGCCAACATTTGTTGTTGCTAGTTTTTTTAATATGTGCCATTCTCACTGGTGTAAGATGGTATCTCATGGTAGTTTTGATTTGCATTTCCCTGATGACAAGTGATGTTGAACATTTTTTCATATGCCTGTTGGCCATTTGCATTTCCTCTTCAGAGAAGTTTCTTTTAAGCTCTTCTGCCCATTTTTTGACTGGATTATTTTCTTTGTTGTTGTTGAGTCTCATCAGCTCTTTGCAGATTTTTGTGATCAGTCCTTTATCATTAGTGTTGGGTGCAAAAATGTTCTCCCAGTTGGTGGGGTTTCTCTTTGTTTTTGTTATTGTCTCTTTTGCTGTGCAAAAGCTCTTTAATTTGATGTAGTCCCAGCTGTTTATCTTTGCCTTCACTATCACTGCTTTGGGTGATGTGTCTGTAAAGATGTCTTTGATGTGCAAATCACGTAGTGTTTCGCCTATATTTCCTTCTATATATTTTATGGTTTCAGGTCTTATGTCTAGTTCTTTAATCCATTTTGAGTTGATTTTTGTGTATGGTGTGAGGTAGTGGTCAAGCTTCATTCTTTTGCATGTAGCGACCCAGTTTTCCCAGCACCATTTATTGAACAAACTTTCTTTGCTCCAATGCATATTCTTTGCTCCTTTGTCAAAGATTAGTTGACCATAAATCTGTGGGTTTATTTCTGGATTTTCTATTCGATTCCATTGGTCTGTATGTCTGTTCTTGTTCCAATACCATGCAGTTTTGATGATTATGGCTTTGTAGTATAGTTTGAAGTCTGGGAGTCTGATGCCTCCATTCCCTTCTTTTTTTTTCAGGAGAGCTTTGGCTATTCGGGGTTTTTGGTGATTCCATATGAATTTCATCAATAATTGTTCTATTTCTTTGAAGAATGACATTGAAATTTTGATTGGAATAGCATTGAATCTGTATATTGCTTTTGGTAGGATGGCCATTTTAATAATGTTTATTCTTCCAATCCATGAGCAGGGGATGTCTCTCCATTTCTTTGTGTCTTCTTCTATTTCTTTTAACAGTGTTTTATAGTTTTCTTTGTATAGGTCCTTTACCTCTTTTGTTAGATTTATTCCCAAATATTTGATTTTTTTTGTTTCAATAACAAAAGGGATGGTCTTTTTGATTTCTTCTTCTTCAGATTTATTGTTTGTGTATAGGAAGGCTACTGACTTTTGCGTGTTGATTTTGTATCCTGCCACTTTACTGAACTGATTGATGAGTTGAATTAGCTTTTCTGTGGAGTTTTTGGGGTTCTCTATGTATAATATCATATCGTCTGCAAATAGTGATAGTTTGACTTCTTCTTTTCCTATTTGGATTCCTTGGATGTCTTTCTCTTGTCTTATTGCCCTGGCTAGGACTTCCAGTATTATATTGAAAAGCAATGGTGAGAGTGGACATCCTTGTCTTGTTCCAGATCTTAATGGAATTGCTTTCAGCTTTTCACCATTGAGAATGATACTGGCTGTTGGCTTGTCATAGATGGCCTTTATGATGTTGAGGTATGTTCCTTGTATCCCCAGAATTTCAAGGGCTTTTATCATGAATGGGTGTTGCACTTTGTCGAAAGCTTTCTCAGCATCTATTGATATTATCATATGGTTTTTATATTTCTTTTTGTTGATGTGTTGGATAACGTTGATTGATTTTCGGATGTTAAACCATCCTTGTGCCCCTGGAATGAATCCAACTTGGTCGTGGTGAATTATCTTATGGATACATTGTTGGATTCTGATAGCTAAAATTTTATTGAGGATTTTTGCATCAGTGTTCATTAGGGAGATTGGCCTGTAGTTTTCCTTTTTTGTGTTGTCCTTGTTCGGTTTTGGTATTAGTGTAATGTTGGCTTCATAAAACGTGTTTGGTATTGTCCCTTCCTTCTCAATTTTTTGGAAGAGTTTGTGAAGGATAGGCACTAATTCGTCTCTGAATGTTTGGTAGAATTCATTTGTAAATCCATCAGGTCCTGGGCTTTTGTTTTTGGGGAGGTTTTTTATTACCATTTCAATTTCGCTAATTGTAATTGGTCTGTTTAGGTGTTCTATTTCTTCTTTATCTAGCTTTGGGTGATTGTAGAGTTGTAGGAATTTGTCCATCTCCTCTAGATTGTTAAACTTGTTTCCATATAACTGTTCATAGTAGTTACTGATTATTCTTTTGATTTCTGCTGTGTCCGTTGTGATTTCTCCTCTTTCATTGATGATCCTGTTTATTTGTGCTTTCTCCCTTTTTTCCTTTGTGAGCCTGGCTCGGGGTTTGTCTATTTTATTGATTTTTTCAAAAAACCAGCTCTTGGTTTCATTGATCTTTTGGATT